AAAAAACGGGATTTGCATTGATCCTCAATATTCTCAATTCAAAATTTCTCTACCAAATCAAAAGAAATCTTCCCCAAATCGTTATAATTAATTTCGCTTTCCCAACATCTTGGAAAAGACTAACCTCTCTCCTCGAAATGATGCATCCGTATTTGCTTTAAATAGCTCACCTGCACGCCTGCCACGCCACAGTACTGCCACCTGCTCTTTTCCTATACTTGCGTCAGCGACATCACCTTATTACTGTTGTTGTTTACTTATACTTGCAAATCACTATAGCTTAACTTCAACCTTATCCCTTTGCAAAAAAAAAAAAAATAACAAAATGAAATTGTAAAGATGAAATACGAACAGATTAAACTATCTAAAATGCAGAATTAAATTGTGGGAGCATGAAAATGATTTAGCATTAAATTCAGCTCCTTTATTCCTTTGTTGATTTTCCTCAGTCTATTGCGAAATAGTGGACTCCAGCATCTCGCACCACGTTCTCTCCATAGAAATGCTTTAATCTCTGCCCGTTTACCGTGAATTCTCTTCCTGGATCCATTTCTTGCACCTTGATGGCTCCATGAGGGTACACATGTGAAACTAAGAATGGTCTTGACCATCTATATTTGAGCTTCCTAGGAAAAAGTTTCAACCGTGAGTTGTAAAGCAATACTTGTTGGCCTTTTTCAAACTGTCGCGGTTGGATTCTCACATCATGCCATCATTTTGTTTTCTCCTTATATATTTTGGCATTTTCGTAAACATCTCTGCGAAACTCCTCCAACTCTAATAATTGCAAGCGGTGCACTTCTCCTACTGCGACATAATCCAAATTTATCTTCGGCCCATAATGAGTTATGCTCCAGCTGTAACGGGAGGTGACATGGTTTTCCAAAAACCAATTTGTATGCAGAAGTACCCAGAGGTGTTTTGAATGCAGTACGATACGCCCATAAGGCATCATCCAACTTCATTGACCAATCTTTCTATTTGTGCTCACTACTTTCTCCAAAATGCTTTTGATCTTCGTATTGGATATCTCAGCTTGCCCATTAGATTGGGGATGGTAAGCTGTAGACACTTTATCTTGATATTGTACTTAGCAAGGAGAGATGCTATAACTTTGTTGATCAAGTGGGAGCCTTCGTTACTCATCACGGCTCTGGGTGTTCCAAACCTTGTAAATATATGCTTGTGGAGAAACTTGGCGGCCACTTTGGCGTCACTGCTAGTGCATGCCACTGCCTTGACCCATTTTGATACATAGTCAACCGCTAACAGAATGAATAGATGTCAATTTGATTGAAGGAAGGGGCTCATGAAATCCATGCCCCTGACATCGAAGAGTTCCACCTCTAAGATGTATGTGAGAGGCATTTCAGACCTCTTGGAGATATTTCCAATCCTCTGGTATTTGTTACAGTGTTGAACTAATTCGTAGACATCTTTGAAAATGGTCGGCTAGTAGTACCCACTTTGGAAAACTTTTGCTGCTATCCGCTGCCTTCCAAAGTGCCCACCATATGGTGCAGAATGGCATTTGGTCAACACCTGACGTGCTTCAGCATTAGCAATGCATCTTCTGATCATTTTGTCTTGACAAACCTTGTAGAGAAATGGATCGTCCCACAGAAAGAATTTACTCTCATGCAAAAACTTCTTTAGCTGTTGCTTGTTCATATCAGCTGGCAATATTCCACTGGCGATGTAGTTGGTTAGATCAGCGAACCATGGTTCATCTTCTTAGTTCAGGACTTCGATCGCCAACACCTGCTCATTTGGAAAGGTTCTTCTGATCTCCGATTCTTCCCTTGAGGTTCCTAGGCCAATCAATTCGGACAAGTGGTCAGCAACCAAGTTTTTCGTTCCCTTCTTATCCTTGATTTCTATGTCGAACTCTTGCAACAGTAGAATTCAGTGAATCAGCCTCGGTTTAGCATCATTCTTTGTAAGCAGATACTTCAGTGTTGCATGGTCTGTATAGACAATCACGTTAGACCCTACCAAATATGCTCTGAATTTTTCATAGGCGAACACCACTGCTAATAACTCCTTCTTTGTGGTGGTGTAATTAATTTGTACCTCTATCAGAGTTTTGCCAGCGTAATAGATCGGATGCACCAGCTTTCGCTTGCGTTGAGTAAGAACTGCTCCCACAGCATAGTCGTTGGCATCGCACATTAATTCTAAAGGATACGTCCAATCCAATGTTGTTATTATCGGGGCATGGGTGAGAGCATGTTTTAGTGTGTCGAACGCCTGCAAACAATCAGATGTGAAGTTAAATTATTTATCATTTTCAAGCAAAGAACAAAGAGGTTTAGAGATCTTTGAAAAATCCTTTATAAATCTGCGGTAAAAACTGACGTGCCCTAAGAAGCTGCGGTTGCCCTTGACATTCACAGGTGGGGGCAATTTTTCTATTGCCTCGATCTTTGCATTGTCTACTTCGATGCCTTTGCTGGAAACTCTGTGCCCTAACACAATTCCCTCATGCACCATGAAGTGACATTTCTCCCAATTTAATATCAGATTTATTTCTTCAAATCTTTGCAGCACCTTCTTCAGATTGTCCAGACACTCTGCAAATGACTTCCCAAACACTGAAAAGTTGTCCATAAACACCTCAACTACTGATTCTACCAAGTCAGAAAAGATGGCCATCATGCACCTTTGGAACGTTGCAGGGGCATTGCAAAGCCCACATGACATTCGTCTAAAAGCAAACGTTCCGTAGGGGCAAGTAAATGTCGTCTTCTGCTGATCTTGCGGGGCTATCGTACCTGTCTATGTAGCCACTCTACTCGTCTAGAAAACAGTAATACTCATGTCCTGCAAGTCTATGTAGCATTTGATCGATGATGAGAAGAGGAAAATGATCTTTCTTTGTGCCTTTATTCAGCTTGTGGTAGTCTATACATATACGCCATCCTGTCACCTTCCTCGTGGGTATCAATTCATTCTTTGCATTCTCCACCAAAGTCATGCCTCCTTTCTTAGGCACACACTACACTGAGCTTACCCACTAGCTGTCTGAAATGTGGTATATGATACCTGTGTCTAACCACTTAAAAATCTCCCTGCTCACTACTTCTTTCATTGCTGGATTAAGTCTACACTGGGGCTCTATGGAGTTTTTGCACGCCTTTTCCAACACAATCTTATGTATGCAAAAGCTGGGGCTTATTCCTCGAATGTCAGCAATAGTCCATCAATAGTCTTATGATGGGCTTTCAGTATGCTCAACAACATCTTCTCCTTCTCCATGGGTAGGTGTGTGCTATTATGATCGGCAAGGTTTCTGACGTACCCAAGTAGGCATACTTTAGGTGCTGGGATAATGCCTTAAGCTCCAGAACTGGTGGTTCTTCTACAGAAGGCTTCAGCAGTTTATGCTCACAAGACTCGCGTATACTCTTGGCTGACTTTTCACTATGGTCTGAGTAAATAACCTCAGGGTCCTCATTTATATTGTCAAGGTCGCTTCAAGAATTGACAACTTCTAGATGCTCTAGCATGGCTTCTGCTTCCAACTCTTCCATTAATGCTTCATCAAGAATCTTTAGCACTGAACACTCTTCTGATTCAGTTGGAAATTTCATTGAGTCATATACTGAGAATTTCACTTATTGATCTTGAACTCGCATTGTCAGCTCTCCTTTGTGAATGTCTACCAGCGCTCTCCCTGTTGCAAGAAATGGCCTCACAAGGATGATAGGGAGCTCCTTATCTACATCATAATCCAAAATAATAAAGTCAGCAGGAAAAATGAATTTATCAACTTGTACCAAGACATCTTCAATTTTCCTTTCCAGATGTGTGATGGATCGGTCCGCAAGTTGCAATGTCACTGTCGTAGGCCTCGCTTCTCCTATACCCAGCTTGTTGTAGATGGATAAGGGCATAAGATTAATACTGGCTCCCAGATCACATAATGCAAGCCCTATTTTCTGCCCTCCAATGGAAACGGGTATTGTGAAGTACCTAGGGTCCTTCATCTTTGCTGTAATTTTGCTTGTGTGAATATTGCTGCAAGCCTTGGTCACCGCCACAGTCTCATACTCTCTCAGCTTTCTCTTCTTGTTTAGGAACCTCACATAGTTTGGCATTTGTTTTAGAGCTTCTACCAAAGGTATGTTAACATGCAGTTGCTTCAGCACGTCTAAGAACTTCTTGAACTAAACGTTCAGCTATTTCTTCTGCAATTGCTTAGGATATGGCGGTGCCGGTCTGTATTCTACTAAAGCATCTACATACTCTTCCTGATTTCTTTTCTCGGGCACTCTAGTTTGCGTTGATTCTGCCTTGGATGCGTTAGTCTCCATTCGGGTGACCTTCTTACTAGCATTGTCCTGAACTTCCCTTGGTTGCTCCATAATTTGCACTGGTGGAGTAGGTGAAACTATCTCTGCTAGCTCACTATCCTTCACTGTTTGAGATTCTCCTGATTCTTTATGACTAGGCTCGCTCAAAGTCCCTGGAGCATTCGAATGTGTCAGAGGTAATGCTTTCCCACTTTGCAATGTGTGAGCCTTACATTGCTCCTTGCCATCCCACTTCGGTACTTCAGTATCGCTCGTCAATGCTCCATAAGGCCTGCTTTTCAAATCAGTTGCTAATTGGCCTACTTGTAGCTCTAAATTTCCTAGTTATGCGGCCTGGCATTACACAGTGGCGTCACTATCGACCATATACTGCTTCATCAGCTTTTCCAGAGATGCATACGATCCTTCTGCATGCTTCTGTGCTACCACCTGACCTTGATTCGCAAATCCTAGGGAATAACTTCATTTATGTTGGTACGTTGGACCGTTAGATGTGCTAACATTATTTTCTCCCTGATTTCCACTCCAACTAAAGTTGAGGTGATTTCTTCAGCCGGGATTATACGTGTTGGAGTATGGGTTGTTTCTGTTGTTCTACAGATTCCCCAAATAGTAGACTGACTCTGGATTTCCAAGGCAATTATTATAATGATGAACTCCTTCGCAGAAAGAACAAGAAATCCCCTTAACATGGCTGACATTTCCCTTGCCAGCAGATGCTCCCACTGTGCTCTGCTGTGTCATGCTTCTCATTACTAAATCTGTCAAGTTCCCAATCTTCGAATTTAGAGCAGAGTATGATTCAGATTTGTTAAATCCCTTACTTCCTCTATCTTAAATAGCTCTAGGATCTGACATGAATGTTTGTTCGATGATATCCTCTCCAAGATGTTGAATACTTCAACATAAGGTTTTGCTAGCAATGTGTCATTTACGAAGGGATCAATGACCAACCGCGTGGCATCGTCCAAACCATTGTAATACGTTTCGATCTAGATGCATCTTGGGATTCCATGGTGAGGGCATTTTTTAAGCAGTCGCTTGAAACACTACCATGAATTGCTCACTGACTCCCACGCCTATTGCTGAAAGTTGTTGATATCGCTTCGGTATTTTGCGTTTTTACTGGGTGGGAAGTACTTCATCAAGAATTTTTCGGCAAAGTCATCCCAACTTGTAATGGATTTTGAAGGCAGCGACTCTAACCAAGTCCTGGCTTCATCCCTGAGTGAGTAGGGGAACAACTTCAGATGTGAATGCGGGTCCTTAGTAGGATGTCCGTGAAATTGACCCACTGTCTAGAGCATCTGAAACATCACTGGCTTAAGTTCGAACTTTGGGGCTGCAATTACGAGCTCTGTGATTACGGGGTTGAAGTTATAAAACGTCGGAGCTGCATATGCCCTGATTTCTCTGTTGATACCATCTGATAGTAATTCATCAATGAGAGGGGGCACTGTTGCCTCAGGTTTAGCAACAACAGAACCCCATCTAGTATTTCCTCAATCTTCACATTCAGTGGCTGGCGTAGATTAGGGTTGGGCGGATTCATGTTTGCTTCAGCTTGGACTCTCCTTTGTTCACTTTGATTCCTATGTAAAGTTCGTTCTATCTCGTGATGGATGATATATTCCAAGCTCTCAAAATCGTTCATACACCTACAACTACACAGAAATGTGAGAAAAGGAAAACTCGTTTAAGCACCGTATCTACAAACACTATTGTTTAAAATAAAATCACTAAGTCGCCAACAACGGCCAAAAACTTGTTCCGTCCATACAACCGTGCTGACAATACGTGCAAGTATACACGAAATTGCCGATTATAGTACGAAACGAGGTCGAATCCATATGAACTTTGGATAATATTTTAAACGATGTTCATAGATACCAAAAGTGTAAAAACAAAGAAATATGGATGTTGTGTCGTAACTAAACAAATATAATAAACAAAGCAGTAAAAGTCTCAATTGTAGACACACTTCGTAGAGCTGAAAACAAGAAGACAAAGCAGCACATAATGCGAAAAAGGGAAGTTAACAAATATGGAAAAGTGGGGGATGATTCAACATGCATTCATAGACTTCTCAACCTGCCCTATAGCTCACTAATACTCATTAATGCCCAACTCGACTAGGTTCCCTTCCGAGACACCCAAACATGGATATCCACAACTCGTTGCTGAGTTTCCAAGCAATAAAAACAAGTTCTAAGCATGATTAGGTGACCTCATTCCATAGAATCCATATATACTAGAGAAAAGTATTAATGACTAATGAATCAAGTGAGCAAACCGTAAGCCCTCCCGGGTCAATACAGAAGCTAGCAAACAGAACAAAGCGGCCAAAAATGCTCAATAAGATATAAGAAATAAATACAGTTTCATTTAAAAACGAATATAGCAGCTAGAAGTTTGGTTTCATAGCAGTTACAATATATGAATCTCCCTCTAAATGGGGTTTAGCTCATAAATGAAGAAGAAAATACAATGGGTAAAAGAAGAAGACTACCCATCTTAGGGAAATAGCAGAAAAACCGAAGAAGAAGAAGATAACAGCTCGAACTTGTAGTGAAATATCTTTTCTGTCGTCAGCTTTCTGCCCCCGAAAATGGAGAGATCCTCCTCCTTGTCATTTCAGCTCTAAAAAACGTGCTTTTATTGGAATCTGTGTGTGGCGGCTAGGGCAACATGTCCCTTTTATATTGGGTTCCATTTTTAAGGCACCAAACTGAAATTTGTACGGACACTGTAAATCTCTTGTCTGGGCTGTTACTGCGCAATGAATCCATGCTCCAGCTCTGCTCTGCTCCAGCTTTCATCTGTTCTACCTTGAAAATGCCCAGCTCATTATTTTCTGGATTTAGCACTCTCTTTATGTTTAGTCTCCTGCTTCCAAACCTGTGCATTTATACCAGAAATAAGAGTATTTAGTGTAATATTTAGCTAAAGCATTTAAGATCTCGAGCTTTTAGCTTGGATTCCAATTTCTAATCTCATCTAGGCTAATTAAGAACCACAACCAACACACTTTGACTTTCTTTGCATAAAAACACCCAAATATACACTAGAATAACTCTCTTTTGGAGAGTTAGCACAACCCAACTGAAGAGCTTGATCTTGTTCCCTTGCTCAGCCTAGATAAGCAAGTGAGCATAGGCACCAAGCTGGGGGCGCCGACAGGGAAGAACTCATCGCCTTCCTAAGTTCCAACTCGGACGTTTTTGCATGGTTTCACGAAGACATGTCTGGCATTGATCCAAAGATAATGGTGGATCGCCTCAACATTGACCCATCATTCCGACCTGTTAAACAGAAAAGAAGACCTGAGGAGAGGAGTGATTTAATAGTTGAGGAAGTCACTAAGCTTTTGAAGGCTATATATAACTGAAATTATGTATCCCGAGTGGCTCTCTAACGTAGTCTTAGTTAACGGAAAGTGGAGAATGTGTGTAGATTTCACAAATCTAAACAAGGCATGCCCTAAAGATTGTTTTCCACTCCCAAGGATTGACTAACTCGTAGACACAACGGTCGGGCACGAGCTGCTCACTTTTATGGATGCCTACTCCGAATACAATCAAATAAAGATGTACCAGCCCGACCAAGCCCATGCTTCTTTCATAACCGATCAGGGCCAGTTTTGTTACTAGGTTATGCCATTTGGTCTAAAGAATGCAGGTGCCACGTACCAATAATGGTGAACAAAATGTTCGCTAATCAGATCGGCGCAACATGGAGGTGTATGTAGATGACATGCTGGTCAAAATTAAACAGGCCAGGTCACATCTTGCTGACTTGACTGAGGCATTTGAGGTTCTTCATCAGTACCAGATGAAGCTTAACTCGGCCAAGTGTGCTTTCGGAGTCTCTTCTGGAAAGTTCCTCAGCTTTATTGTGAATAACTGACGAATCAAAGCCAATCCTGAGAAAATCAAAGCCGTGCTTGAGATGTAGGTACCAAAGAACCTTAAACAGCTGCAATATTTGAATGGAAGAATTGTCGCACTTAATAGGTTCGTCTCCAGGTCTATTGACAAGTGACTCCCTTTCTTCAAAGTGTTATGAAAGAAAGGGTCATTTGAATGGACAGCCGAGTAAGAGGAGGCTTTTGAATAACTCAAGTCCTACCTTTGCTCGACCCCATTACTGGCAAAGCCCTTGCCAAGAGACAAGTTGCAGCTATACTTGGCGGTGTTCGATAAGGTAGTCAGGTCGGCCCTTATCAAGCAGAAACGAGTGCGCCAGAGTCCGATCTATTATACAAGTAAAGCTATGACTGAGGCCGAGACCAGATATCCCCAAATGGAAAAATTGGTTGTCGCTCTAGTCATAGCTGCACGGCGACTCAGGCCCTACTTCCAAACCCATACCGTGACCGTGCTCACGAACTTACCTTTGAAGCAAATCTTCCATAAGCCAGAGACATCTGGTCGGTTGATGAAGTGGGTAGAGTTGAGTGAGTATGACATCTAGTTCGAACCACGAATGGCCATAAAGGGACAAGCAATCGCAGACTTCATAGCCAAACTTACACCCCAGTTGACTCCGACCTCTGCGTTTGACCCGCCGTGGACCATACACGTCGATGGGTCTTCTAATGACAAAGGATGCAGTGCAGGTGTGCTCCTGCTCGCACTTGACGACATGGGCTTTTAATATGCCCTCTGGTTTAATTTCCATACCTCAAATAACGAGGCTGGATATGAGGCCCCATTGGCCGGCCTCCACATGGCCAAGGGACTCGGAGCCAACCACATCAAAGGGTACGAGGCCCTATTGGCCGG